TAAAGTACGCTTTCTTTCTTGAATCCAGAAATAAGGACTTACTCCACAATAAAGTCGCTGTGGCTCTTTTTATTCTGCTGACCCAATATGAGCACTGCGTAAAAGCAGTGAAGTGTGTGGAAAACCTAGCCGGGTTTACCATGACTTTAGCAGCTGCTGGTGTTACCTCTGACACCGGTTGACCACGAATGAGTAATTCATTAAGTTTCGGTTTCTGCTGCCCCGCGCAACACGACCTGCAGCAGCCGCATCACCGCTCCGGGACTCGCCTCAGAGGAGGGGAGGGCGGTGGAGGAGAGCGGAGAGAGGTGAGCGGAGTGGACTCAGTTATTACAACAAGCCGATTACTGAAGGCTACTGAGCCTTCTGTGTCAATATGCGTCTGTCCTCTCTTGGTCAGACGGGAGGAGGACACAGCAGCCCACAGCCGAACTTTCCTTTTTCCCTTTTTCACGTGAAAAAACTTTTTTTTAAGGGAACTTTTTTTTTAATGGACCTACTCCACGAGAACGCACGTGAAGAAAGCCTGGATGTTTTATTTGATAAGATCTGATTTATTCTGTAAGATGTGTGTGTATGGCACTCTGCGGAGCAAACGGTGACCTCCAGGAACTTAAAAGGTTGTTTTTTTTTTGTTTGTTTTAGCGGCTGCATTATAATTATTATTTTTTAAATATAATAGCGAATGCTGTTCATAATTTGATCTTTACGCATTTAATTTATGTAAAGGAGGTTAAATTTGGAAGCCAAATGAAATGCTTTGCGCACTAAACTTTATTAGTAAGTGAACTCCAAGAAGCCAACTGAGGAGGGAAAGTAAAACCTCTTCTCTGCTTCGCTCACCTGCAAGTGCAAAGTGTAAAAAAATGAGCAGCCCCTCTAGGAGTTTAGACGGACAGAAAGGTGACGGCTCAGGCACCAAACCGGAGACGCCCAGGTACCGCAGCTGGAGCAGTCTCCGCTTCTCCAAATGGAGAAGTGCGTCCCAGAGGGCAACCCCGCCTGCCACCCCTTCCCCGAAGACAGACAAGAGAAGCGACGTGAACAAGACGCTCTTCTCCCTGGTCAAGACTCACAATGACGACTACACAGCGGATCCGGATGGCCTCCTGGAGCCCAACGTTGAGGGCGAAGGAGACAGTGCTAGCCAGTCTCAGGACCAGACCACCTACTTCCAGAAGCAGTTTGGCTCCATGCTGCAGCCCGGGGTCAACAAGTTCTCCCTGCGCATGTTCGGCAGTCACAAAGGTGTTGCTGCTGAGCAGGAGAGGGTTAAAAGCTTTGGAGTGTGGATCATACACCCCTACAGTGACTTCAGGTAATTAGTAGAAAGCCCTTAAACTAATTTGCTCTCATTTTAGTGCAATTTGTGTAACTTAACGCATTATAACCGCAAAAATTGGACAGAAATCTGACCAGTGACATTTTCCATTTCAAGGTGTTTCCAGTCGCTCAATATTGTTTAGAGTTCCCTTGAAAGCATTTACCCTTTATCCCACTAAGCACCCTGTGATTGAGGACTCTCATCCAGTTTTTCAAGGACAGACTGCAGGATAGCAGCTGATGTCATGGTTCGCAGCACATGATAAGGCGATGAAGGGATTTGATTAGTGATACAGTATATAGGACAAGATCATCTGGATTAATGATATCACTCCCGTGTGACTCCTTTTTTTAACCCCAGGAGGAGAGAGAAGTGCATTCATCAATACTCATGATTTAACCACT